ATTGGATATAGGTCTGTCACGCACAACCCTGAGATAGTTCCCCACGACATATGTTTTTGCTGAGTGTCTCCTTAGACTCCGCAGGACATTCCTGTGTTTCTGTTGTCGATCGGCATTTCTAATAAGCCGAGTACAAAGCCCTGCATTTATGAACCCCAAGATATACTAAGAGAAGAAAATTTTAAAAATTAAAACCACCAAATTAAATCGCGATTTTTTGATAATATCCAACAAACGGTTACGTTAAGCATAACCTGACGAAATTTTTCTCTTATATTCGGTTTTTTACATTTATTTGCTATTGTGTAGGGAAAATGGAATGCCTGACAACGAGAAAACAAATGCAGAGCTTTCAAGCCTCTACACAAGCATGACTTATTTAGGGTAAATATTCTGTCTTCATCTTTGATGCATCACATCAAAATCTTTGTCAAGTCACAGTGCAATAACATTCCGAGCTAGATTTCAAGCAGTTATTGTTAGTTCTGCTACTACTACTGATACTGTTGCTATTACTTTTTATTCTTCTGCTGCTTCCCCTGCTTCTGCTACTGCTTCTGCTTCTGCTACTGCTTCTGCTTCTGCTACTGCTTCTGCTACTACTACTGCTATTGCTACTGCTACTGCTGCTGCTACTGCTACTGCTATTGTTACTGCTATTACTACTACTACTTCTGCCACTGCTACTGTTTCTGCTTCTGCAACTGCTACTGCTATTGCTTCCACTACTGCTACTACTACTGCTTCTGCTACTGCTACTGCTACTACTACTTCTACTGCTAGTGCTTCCGCTTTTGTTTCTGCTTCTGCTTCCGTTACTGTTACTGCTAATGCTACTGCTTCTGCTTCTTTTTCTGCTACTACCACTGCTACTGATACTACTACTGCTACTACTACTGCGTCTGCCTCTGTTTCTGCTTCTGCTTCTGCTTCTGCTTCTGCTTCTGCTTCTGCTTCTGCTACTGCTACTGCTACTGCTACTGCTACTGCTACTGCTACTGCTACTGCTACTGCTACTGCTACTGCTACTGCTTCTGCTCCTGTTTCTGCCTCTGCTACTGCTACTGCTACTAGTTGAGCCGAGTTGCAAAAGGAGCAAAAGAGATTCAAAACAAATACATAAAACAAATACATAAACTAGTCTGGTGGGTTAATTCTGCTACAAACACGATTGGTTTTCCTTCCTGGCTCTCGAAAAAGAAAAGTTTTTCTTGATTCATATCTGAGCGAAATCTCTTTTAATACAATAAATCCTCTCTTGATCATGCAAAAGTGAAGTCAAGACGGCAGGATGTTTGACTCATTCTTTTTTCGCACTTTCATGGACCTAGACTTCATCTCGGTTGATAAAACGCAAAAAAAAAAACCAAACAAACAAACGAAAAACTCGGCCAATATCCAGCCATCTTGACCTCACCCATGGTCAATAACGCATACGTATCCCTTTTCTCGCTGGTATTTACAGACGCTTAGAAAAAAAATGACAGATCTAAGTGTCAATTAAATCTCCTTTTTTACTTCTTGTTTGTCTTTTTGTTGTTGTGTTTTGAATCTTTTGAATATATTTTTTTTCAACAGACTTTTCATCGGCTCAAGCCTGGGAGGTGCAGTATATAAATATATCCTACCATATTACTATAAGGCTATGGTCGGAGTTAATTTTTCTTTAACGAAATTGACGCACTTTAGCTTTATCAACCTAAATGTAGGGAAAAGTACTGTGAACTGACACTAAACAACTAAACTAAACCCGGTGGAAGATCTCTACTTTCGGTAGTTTGTTGTTGTAAAGGTCATCTCTCAATATTGACAGCGGGTTACTAACAGCGCTCCTCAACTTCCAGAAGACTTACTCATAGTGTGCTCAAGTGACGTGTTTTCAAAACCCTATTTGTTAGTACAGAAAGACTCTTTCCACCACAAAATAAAATAGTTTCAGCGAGAATGTATAACAGTCGCTGAACTACTGCTGCTGCAATGTAAAAAAAATAAACTGCTGCAAGTGCAAATTAGTTACTGCAGATAAAAGGTTGAATACTTGCCGCAAATTTCCTACAATGTAGTCGCAAAGATGCATCATAACGCATAGTAGGTGGGGTGAGTAATAAAACCTCTTGGATAAGATACGTGTCTGTGCTCTTATTTAGGACTGGATCAAAATATGTAAACGGTAAACAATTTTTTAAAAGGAAAGAAGAGTATTAACGCGGAAAAGAACAAAAATGTCGAATTAACTGACACACAGGTATTTTGTGGTAAATTGTGTGTGTTGTGCGAATAACTGTAACCAAAAATAAACTATATTGGTGCCACGGATGCCTGTTGGTACAAAATGCACACTGCAGACTGCAGACCAGATATAAAATGTAGACTAGGTACAAAATGTAGACTGCAGACTGCAGAGTGAGTACAAAATGCAGACTGAGAATCTAAATTTTTTTCGTCTGGTATGTGATAACATGTCATCTTACAACTTACCGAGCGTCATGCAATCGCTTTTCCGCGATCAGCTTTCCCGACTATTTGCACTATTGTGGAATATTCCTGGCCCATTTCTTGATCAAAATCGATCTTAATATAATTTCAAGCCTTCATATAGTCTTCTCACTTTGCGTGCGAGTTGGTTGTTGTGATGTCTGTACAGATTTTACCAATGTAATAAAAGTAGATGTAGATGTTAATGAGTTGTCACTACTGAATATTTAACACGCGGAACTTTCGAGAAACAATTGACAGCTTTGCAAGTGGTTCATATTGCAAGTGGTTCATCTTTTTAAACGGTATGTGTTTATTCTGTTGACAAAAATGCGGACCGAGACCAAAACGAGGGGGGCACTAGGATTTTCGGTTTTGCGGTTTCAGCTATTTTTTAGATCGGTTTTTTGGTTTTTGTGCTAAAAAACTTCGGTTTTTCGGTTTTGGTGTTCATTGCGGTTTGCGGATATTCCGTTTTTCAGCATCTGGTTTTCGGTTTTCGCGAAAAATACCAGCGGGTTTTCGGATTTGATATCCGATGCGATTTTCGATTTTTCTTATTTGACCTATTTGGGTTCCGGTTTCTCTACGATCTGAGCGGCAGTTACGCGCCTCCACTGATCTCGAATAGCCGCTAAACGCAAAAGTTATCGAGAGAAATGCGTGACAAACCAATTGGAATATCGCAGGGATTCCTACTCCAACGAGTAGCCGTACCCTCCCCCTCCCCTCTCCCTCCCTCAAGGTGGGGGGAGGGGAGGGTACGGCTAGACGTAGGGTACGGCTAAGCACGGAACATTGCCAGAGTATCTTTATCAACGCCACCTTGAAGTTGCTGACCGAGTTACAGGCTACACGTGCACGTGACTGATTGATTCAACATTCCAATAGAATCTCCAAACTTTCAGGTCTTAGTTCGCAAATGGAAGTGTTGGATTAAGGATTTTTGATGAAACTTTCCAGAGTTATAGCGTTTTGCGACTGCAAAATTACAATCCTATAGAGTACTTTTGTGCGAATTTCCTTAATTTAACTACTTTCCATTACCAGCTGCAGAGACATCGCTCGAGGTCCTCGAGAGAGCAGCTGTTAACTTAAGCAGATACTAGAAGATACGAATGCCAAGTCCATAGCATACATAAATCCTGTAATGAAATGAGTGTAGTTTACTCTGTATGCTCGACTTGTCACCATTGTATCGGATCAATCAGGGCTTTAATAACTGGGATGTGAAAATGTATCGGTTTTGACAGTTTTGCAGGCAGTTTTCGGTTTTGATCGAATTTTTTTTCGGTTTTTCGGTTTTGGATGATTTTTTCTACGGTTTTGTGGTTCCTAATAGGTCCCAATTGCCCCCTCTAAAACTGTTCCTTCGACTTGATGTATTTTCGACGTTAGTAGATCAAACCATATTAACTGACCTCCGTAAATCATTCATCTAGATAACAAAATCAGATAAACATGCTAACGATGGTATCTGAATTCGTCCTTGGCCAAACACAAAAGACTTCACAAGATAACTTTTTCTAGGCATCGAAAACATACACAAAATCGTTCATAGTTAATTTTAATCAGACATTCATCTAGAGATAGCACCGAGCAAACCAATCCAGAAAAATATAATCGGCACACTCAACAAATCATGAATCTTGCAACACAGCTTGCCGTTAAAGAACTGCTCAAATCAAAATGTTTGGTGCGATTCATCAACACCCCAAGAAATATTTGATTCAAAATTTTTCCACTCACTCTCGTCGTGAAGGAACAGTAACCATGATCGTGCTACAGGGCAGAGGACCCCATTTTCTCTCGACAAAACTATCCACCACTTTGACAGCATGAGTAACACGTTTACTATAGGTAATCGGATATCTTTTAGCTGTCCAGTAGTATCGCACTTCTCATAAAGTGCGGTAAAATATACGTTAAAAACACAGAAAAGCCAACATTTCTCATTCTTAAAGATGATTCCATGTTACGAACCGCTCTCTCTGAATCTCTCATTACTTCGTTGAAATTTGAACACCTCTAAAACCAAAGAACAAAAACGACGCTCTGATTGGTGCAAGATACATGCCCTAATGCGGCGATCTGAATGGTGCGAGCAAGATACCACTCTCTATACGCTAACATAGATGTTTTTTTTTTCAAATAACTCAAAAAAGTACAAGAAGGTCAGATGCAAACGGGAACCAGAGTCTCATGCAAAGCAACCTCCCCACTAAAATGCTTGATAGAAAGAAAAAGAACTCAAAGAATAAATTGCATTGAATTCAAACATTTATTACGATAAAATCCTTTTCCTAGCATTTAACTGTTGTCAGTGGCAATAACAACTACGAATAAGACTTCACGAACACGGTCTGTCTAGGTCAAATACATGAACTAATTCAGCTTTGTATACCTTAGTGATGTAGACCTTAAAGGACTTTATGCGAGCATAACTTGAAATATAAGCCAAACAATTTAAAACCTTTACATAAATGACAATGAAAGTCCATGAAACATCGACTTAATTTGCTTACCTCTTGAGGAAAAAATGGTGAAAACACCGCTTCTGTAGCAAAATCCATGATAAAGTTCAAAAAACAATTGATAAGGAGGATAGCTCCGCAGTGAGAAATCCCAGGTAAACAACCTCCAGAGGAACACTCTGAGCTTGAGGTTTCCTCTTTCCCACTGACTTGAAGGCTGTTACTTATCAAGCCTTTCCTCCGATCATTGGGTAGAATCTCTGAACTAGTAGTCATTATGGACCGGAATGGATAATCCTTTGACCAAAATGAGGACAGTTATTTACCACCCTTAGAGGGTAATTTGGTGTTATCAACTGAGTTGAAAACATAAATTGGGCACCATAAAGAGTTTAAAGGTTGGCGTTTCGAGCGTTGGCCTTTCGTCAGAGCGATCGACGAGGGGCTAACTCTCGAAAGGTCACCCCTTAAACTCTTTATGGTGAAATTAACATCGATAAAAAGGTAAGATAATGTTGGAACGTGAGTTTTATCTGAGTAACGGTTCCCGATATTTCTTAAACAATGAGACCCATCAAAGTCTGCAAATTTGCATTTTTCTTTTTGTTCTCCCGAACCACATGTTTCTCTTGCTACCGAATAGTGGGTGATATCGTCAGTCATAGAAACAATTTGGAATCTCGATATGAATCATAAGATGAATAACAAAACAGACAAAACAAAAGAACAACTTACTTAGTAACTTTAGGGCATGAATCATCAGTCAGACGAATATTTAAAAAAAAGGCTCATTTTGAAAGTACACTCGTCTCACTCTACTTTAATTACAACAAATGAAATTTTTAAGGCAGATTATCCAATCCATAGGGAAGAAGCATCCGAAACCTTAACAATCTTCTCACGGCATATTCTTGATTAATTCCAAGGAAAAAAATGACATTTAGGAATGAGGATCGTTAACACATTACATACTGGTTAAATTTAATAAAGTGTAAAAATTGGCAAACGTGGGCGTCCTAGACAGGAGTATATTATTATTCATCAAAAAATATAAGAGCCAGCAGGTAATTTAGTGTTAACAACTGAGTTGAAAACGTAAATTGGCCACCGCAAAGAGTAAAAAAGCTGACGTTTCGAGCGTTATCCCTTCGTCAGAGCGATTGGAAGTGCTAGGTGCTACCCTCACTGAGAAAGAATAGTGAATTTACAGAACGTGCCTAAAAAAACCACAAAGCAGACAATACTGATGGGGATGATAATAACTATGTTTCGAAGAGTCCAAAGTCAACTAACTCAAGAGATACAATCTGAGCTCGAGTACTGCACTCTCCTATTGGACTGAAGGCTGTTGTTTAACGAGCCCTTCCTTTGATTAGAGAATCAATTCTGACCACAGACATTTTCCATTAGAACTGGTAACAGTAGAAAAAATGTCACCATCGTTTTACAACTCATCTGAAAGCCAGATTTAAAACTTTTTAGAGGATGTTGACATTGATCTAAGAGGAAGAGATGAAGGAAAGGTTTAAAGTTTTTCTGTTAGATCTGGCAAAAATAACGGTAAAAAAAATCCACTAGGTTATAATGACATCTCCTCGCCTTCTATAAATTATAATCCTTTCAGAAATTTGTTTTGTTTTGTATTGCTAAAAATAAATGATGATGACGATAATTCCAAGAAATGTTATCATAATATGAGATCATAGCATTATGATATAAATCAGTTTTTTTATAAGTTTAATGTACGTTAAAAGCTATTAACTTGATGCTTTCCTGGGTGCTGACATAACACGAAGAGATTTACTTCAAAGGAAGTGATTGAAATTTTCTAAAAAGTTCTTTATTGCAAAGGAATATGTATTTGGCTATTTCTATCATATTGTCTGTAACCTCCGCATAAAATGGGCAGTTTTGTTTTTCCTAGAAGAAGAAATGTTTACTTAAGGATCATACAAATGGTGTAAATCATCATTCACAAAAAAAATATTTAAAAAAGAAGAAGAAGAAAAGGCTTTATTATACATGCTTTTAAGAATATCAATAGCTACAAGCAGGAGATTAAAATTCAAATTGAAGTCTAAGTCAAAATACCCTGGTTAGGAAACTATCAATGAAAAATATTACCACATCCTCACCTTTTTCACTACGGTCTCTACTGAAACTGTTATGCTTTTATACACTTCTGATAAATTATGGGTACATGATTCAATATTCCAAAAGGAGCATCCGTAACCCTCTTTGTTGATTTAGAGTTTGAAATCATTATATGAGGACAATTAGTCACTTATTATACTAGGAATTACATTTTTTTTCCAATGTAGGCTTCATTTGTGATATATCATTAATCAATAAATATAAGTACTAACCTCTTGAGGAAAGAATGGTGAAAACAAAGAGTATGCTACAAACGCCATAAAGCTGCAAACACCGTTGCTGGCGCAGAGAGCTATGTAGTGAAGAAGCGCAGGTGAATCATCTCCAGAGGAGCACTTTTCCTCTTTCTCGCTGAGTTGAAGGCTGTCAATTATCAGGTTTTCCCTATCATCATCGGATCGAATTTCTGAACTACAGGTAATAGTCATTTTCAGTTTGGATGGATAGTACTTTGACCAAAATGTCGAAAAATTATTGTAACTCTCAACAACAGCTTTCTTTTCAAAGCATGTTATAAAAATTCATAAAAAAAAGAGGAAAGAGGGTTGGACCGCGTTAGAACTGGGTTTGACTTTCTGCACCATCGAGTTTGACACATTGACGCAGAGGTTGTGAATAGCACGACAATTTCCGTTCCGATATTTGATGTCCATGGATTTTCAATGATTTAGAGGACTTTAAATTTGAAAAAGGGAGGCCAAATTCATGTTTTTTTTCTCAGCTCAGCTGTGGCGTACCTCTTCTCTTTAACTGAGAGTTAATCTATTAGAGTTGCCTCCGCATAAGATATGACATCAAAACATGACTCAAGGCCGAAGAGTTTTAGTGCTTTAGCGGCACAATAAACGATAGATTTTCGGGCAATCAGAGAGAAAGTTATGTAAAAGTTATGTAGGATTGCGAATTTTTTGTTTCATAAGTCGGCGTGCGTTCAATGAGATATGCAGCACGTGGAAAGTTTGGGGATCGCATAAGACGCGTGGGAGATGCTCGAGGCGCAGCCGAGAGCAACACTAGCTTCTTAAGCGCTCTTTAAACTTTCCAAGTGATTCATATCTTGAGAAATGCACAGCTGACAAAATGAAATGCACATCGAGAAACTGAAGCACTTGGATAGTTTCAAGAGGCTAGAGTTGCTCTTGGCTGCGCCTTGAGCAACTCCCACGCTACTTTCGTGCTCATCAAACTTCCCGCGTGCTTGATATATCGATGAAGCACCTACGAACCAATTGATAAATATCCCCTGCAGCCTGTTACAGTGATATGAAATTCCAATATTCCATCTAAATTCAAATTATGAAAGACCACACATTGTCTCCTCTGTTTCAAACAAGCTGAACATGCGTTTCGAGAGGCGATTTTATTTCATTCGGTCCCGGGGTTTTTCTCATTTTTCAAAATTTCTCTTCTAGTTTATGTTGGAGACATAAATAAATTATTTTGTGAATAAACATCCTTTCAACAGCTTTTCGTCAGACAAGTGGTCAATCGTAGGTTTCTCAACAAGCTCAAAGGAGGCGAGAGTGTGCTAAAAATTTTCGACTGCATCATAGCCTTATGTTTAAATTGCTCGAACACGATAAAATTGCTTTAGTGCGTTTGCTAGATATTTCAGACTTCAAACCCAGGCAAAATCTGAAAACTTCAAAAGCGACGCGGTTCGCTTCTTTATCGGCTTTCACTTGTCCATATATTGTTTTTGAGTCCTTGCCTGGCACAAACATTTTTAAACCTTCTTTTAGCTTTTACAAAGCATTAAAAGTGATTTGTATAATTTGGAACCTGAAAATTGCCCGAAATTCAAACAAATCCGCAAAATCTAAAAAGAATTGCGCAACCGCGAGGATTTGCTGGTCCACCGAATACATTATTTATTGCGTGAGCACGACATATATTCAGGAAATAGGATTTTTAAACAGAAAAGATCAAGAATAAAGGGCGTACCCAAGTTACCGCCTACTTCCATAGATTTACGAGCTACGTGCTTCTCGAGGAAATTTCCTGGTTGTACAATCAGTGCAGAGATGAAAAGTAAAAATTGTTTATTCCTACAACCTTAAAAGAGAGGAAATTAGTTGCGCCTAAACAAAACATAAGGGAGTTCAATATGATAGATATTGTGAGAAGGTTAATTTCCAGGACGTTCCTGTGCAGAGATCAACTTTAACAAAAGCCATTATATTGTTTTCTTAAGAGTTCAATTGGAGCATTACTTACGGAAAGAGCCAGTTACCACGGAATCTAAACAAGAGCTTGAATTTGTAATCTCGAAGAACTATTTTCTCCTAGCAGTTTGATCTTTATACAGTCTTTTACCATAAAAGAGTCGGAATATTATTTTTTTAAAATGTCTTTTAACACCGAACTGGCCGGTAATTCAGTTCTTATTTAGATCAGATGCGCATACAGAAGCTTGTGGAACGCGTCAATATTATCCTGGTCATTTCTTTTGAGACAGTAATAGCCTCCATAATCGCGTTAGAGCTCAGGTCGAAGTCTTCCTCAACAAATGTCTGAAATTCCTTTGGATGCTGATATACTACGTTCATATATAACTTTTCTAAATCTTTATCTGTTTTCCTTACAGTTGGGTCAAAATCCCACACCGACTGGTCTTGTGTTCTTCATATTTGCCGGTATTAACGTCTCATATAGCAGTATATGTGGAGGGTATATATATCACTTACCATTTTATAGCAGATAAAACAGTAAATGATACTTAGATTTTTGCAGGTGTAGTAATCACCGATCACTTCTCCTGTATTCAAGCAAAGGTTATCTATTTCTTATCTTGCACTTATCTCAAAGCTAGACATTGGTGAAACAGGAAGATGATTTGGCGACTGATTCCGTGAACACCAACGAGGATTGGAAAAGACACATTCAAATCAGTCGCTAGACACTTTATCTCCCAAATCATTCTAGGCACGATATGGCAGTCTGTGGCCTTTCGCTACGTCTGGACAGCTCAGAAAGCCGCAAAGCTCTAGAACAACAACAGAAAAAACCTTCAAATGGACATCCCTAATCCCACAGTATTAAGAAACACTTTCGATTCAACTAACTCATTCTTTTTTCTTCGCGTTACCATGTTCCTACCAACAGTAAATAAACAATAAACCAAACACTACCCAAAAATCCTCTGACGAAGGGCTAACCGGCTCGAAACATTAACTTTAGAAACTCATGACGTCTCTAACTTCTTCATATCGGTATTCCATCTTTGGATAAGAACGTAAAAAGCTCTTTGCTCATCCCTATTGCCTCTCAGAAGAAATATCGCACAATCTTTTTTATCAGTCTGCCCTTAGTAGCTA